ACACCACAAAACGTCCATTTATTTGCTTTTCCTTCAAGTGGTGCGGCACTCACTTATCAAGCTTTTTGACATTATAGTCTGCCTGAAAGGTATTCAAACTGCTAAGTTAGCATCAAGATATCTAAGAGTTTTACACGGATCCGCTCTTACTAGGGCCTTTAATTGTTCGTTGTTTAATTCCAGTAGCCGTCCACATCGCTCTTCATCTCCAAGCCTCTTGTAAATATTTCGAAGTTTTTGCAACCACCATTATTAGTGGTTTTAGCACCAAATGCACTGTTGATGCCATGGACGGTTTCCGCTACATTCCGACCAATTTGAAATTTGACAAGAAACTTGTACGAATTCCTCTTATATCAAATCTTCTGTGAATATGTGAAATCGTGTTCCTGAGCTACATTATCACTATTGCTAGGTAGAGCGCAAAAACCGGCTTCAAAATGACCTTGAAGGTCAAAGCAACTTATTAAAAATTGTTCCCAAACAAATACCAAAAGATCACAATAACTTTATTGCCAACCTAATAGACGCAACGAGCACTGCGCGCTTCGTCGTCCTTTATGCATACACACTGCATTCAGTTGGAACCCCATCATGTCACGTAGTTATACAAAGCTTGCCGAAATACTTGATGGCGTTGATGAATTCCGCCTTTATTTGTAATAAACTAGGCTTGACTTACCTGTCATCAGACATTTTTAATACCAAGAGTCAGCTAACTGCGCTTATCGTCAACAACCCCATCTTAAGCTTATTGCCCTCCCTTGGTACTTTACCCCAAACTTTTAACTGTTTGTGTTGCATTTTTATCCCCCTCCGAATTTTCGTACTATTTTGTTTTTCATTAGGATGACGACACAGGCCTTGACACTTTAACCTGCAATTTTTTTGCTACTAGGAGATTGGCTAATTTACCTCATTGGGCTGAATTACTTCAAACATCACTCTGTCCTCTCTGTGGCTCTTACGTTTGTGGCGTCTATATCCCCAAGTTTCGTGTGTTCTAGTCAGCGGGCTTCAGACTCATCTATTAATGTCGTTATCGATTTCAGTCGTCTTTGTCCGCTCACACTATTTCGTGTTCGTCTCCGCTTTGTCTATATGGAGTCGGCACGGTACAGTTAACGACATTTCCTAACTTAATGACCACCCCTGGCATTAATCCTCTTGATTAAAGTCCGTTGTTGGAGGCTTCTTCGCAGTAGCTTTCAAATCAGACAGTCGTCCACATCTCCAAAAAGCACTAGACGGCCGTTTCGACCTGTTGCATCTCATCAGTAGTGCGCATCCAACGGATCCATCAGGGTCCTACGCTATAGCTATTAGCGGCTTGCATCGCGAGCCAGCAGCTTACACCGCTGAGCTCTGGGGGCGGCCACCGATCCTCATGAGTTGCAAAATGCGACAAAGCGCCTCTCATCCTTCCCCGCCATGCAAGTTACGAACGTTGCAGACAACAGGGTTTACCCCGAAAGACACGACTTTCACTAACAATAGCTGTGTACGACATTGGATTTGGAAACCATTAGAACGGATATTTTGATGTGGTCACGAGTAATTGATTTTTGATGTGAATTTTGGGGGTTTCTTCATTGGAGCCTTCAGATCAGATGGCCCTCCACATGCTCGGAAGAGCTCTCATCCGCCCTTTCGCCTTGCTGTATCTCGTCATGAGTGTGCATTTGTCGGATTCATCAGGATTCTAACCCATGACCACTCGCAGTTTGCATCGCTGGCCAGCAGCAGTTAACGCGAGGAAACTCTCAACCTTTTGCATCAAAATCCCCTGCGCATGGACATTATAAAAGAGCGGTTATTTTTCTTCTAAGTATATGCACGAAGTTGCTTACCTCTCGGATCAGCTACTTTGTGTTCCTTGTTTAGATCTGCCATTATTATCACTGTCAGATCTTTCTAGTTTGCAGGACACCGGCTGTGTACTTGTTGTCAACCATTCTGAACTGTTTGGTCATGGAAGCATTTAGGTGCGATGTGTACTCCCAGACTCTTACCTGAAATGCAAAGTGCTGCTCCGGAATTGTTGCACACCTTCCAGTGTTCACCATTGAGGTGTGCAGCTCGAGTAGGTAGATAGTTTAGTTTGTCTGGAGAGCTGCATCTCTGCTGGTGGCACTATTATAAACTAAGTTTTTCTTCATATCGCCCAATCTCCGTCGGCTTTTGCCAATTTGAGCTAGTTGTGGCGTCGCCGGTACCCTTGACTGTTAGTTGTTGATCGGGTTTATAATGCCTCCCTGTCTTATTCCTTCCGACTTACACTGGATATGAAATGTGTGGTTGCAGCTGTCGGTGGATGCAGTGCAAGCCATCTATGGTCCCTCTGTAGGTGCAGGCGTCCTGTGGCTGGTCACAGTGGCAGGCAACTCCAAAACCGCATGCCGCCAATCATGGAGGCTTCTCCTGGTCAGTTCGCCTCGTGACATGCGTAGGCTTTCGGCCTTCGACAATGGATGTTTGACGAGGACTGCTCCTGTTCAGCAGTAACATACATGATGCTATGCCTCTTGTCTTAGGGATACGAATATTCTTTTCAATCGTGTGGGTTTGATGCGCCAAGTAAGACAACTCAGGCACGTCCTCTCTATTCGCTCTCGCCATATTGAACTAGACGGGGCGGTCAGCTCACCGCCTAGAAACATCACATGCAATCGCTGCCCTCACATTTAACTGCCATGTTATCATTGTGTCTTCCTGTCTGGGGACCCATGACTGACAAGTTCCAGTGTCGAAATACTTGCAGACGTGGATAGCAAGCGGACCTGAAAGAAGATTTGTATGGAGAATTGATACTGATACTGATACTGTATTTAAGAGCAAGTAGAAAGGTTTCTGTACAACTCTATCGAATTACGAAAAATCAAAATTTACTTTTTAATAATCATCAGTTGTGTCTGTTCCGTTAATCGTTTATCCTTGTTCGGTTAGAAATTTGCGTAATGTCATTATTTCCGGGTATACAATGTCTTCTTTTGGCACTGTATGTGCATCGTCTCGCAAAAGCACAGGTTTCCAAAATAATCGTCGATACGGGTTTTAAAACACTTCACAGAATCGGCCTCTATTAATCCTTCAGGTAGTGTATTCCATTAGTTTACGATTCTTCTTTCGATACAAAGCTGATGTGATACTTTGTTCATGCTGGGGACCCTGAGTTTGTAACGATGTCCTCGGGTGTTACAGGGTTCCCGCAGGTGAAATATTGGCCGCAGTATGGGGAAGTGATTCAAGTGTAGTACCCGATGGGTCATAATAAGATCAATTCTTACTCGGCGATAGGATAGTGTGTAGAGTCCGAGCCTTTCACAACGTTTTTCATACGGAAGCTTTCGTAGGGTCGGTATCATTCTAGTTGCGATATGCTGTATTTTCTCCAGCTTTTCAGTTTCCCATTGGGTTATCGGATGGTAAGCTGGGGCACCGTACTCAAGAATTGGTCTAATGAGCGAGGTGAATAGACGAGGGACGGTTTCTTCGGATCATGTGGAGAAACTGCGTCTTAATGCCCAGAACATACGAAGTCCCGCACGGTACAATTTCTCTGTATTTTCTAGTGATCTTAAATCATGTCGTGAGAGAACTCCTAAGTCTCTGACAGATGTGTTGGGATGGAGCAACTGGCCGTCCAAGGTGTATGATCGAGTGGCTGGACGTCTGGTGATACTGATGAACTCCGAGTTGCTTGCGTTAAGAGGGAGTTGCATTTCAGTGGACCACGTTGTCAGTCGCTCTAAGTCATGCTGGAGGCGAGCGCAGTCGTCCTGGTTTTCAATGATCCTCCAGCTTTTCAAATCATCTGCAAACAGGGCACATGGTGACTGGAGCTGCTGCGGAAGATCGTTGATATGAATAAGAAATAATACTGTCCCAAGTACAGTTCCTTGAGGCACGCCACTGGTCGATTGGAACCATTCTGTCAGATAGTCATTGACCTGTACTCTAAACCTTCGTCCCACAATAAACTCGTGTAACCACTGAAGTAACGTGCCACCGATTCCGTATGTCCTCAGTTTACGAAGGAGTACCTCGTGGTTCACTGTCAAACGCCTTACTAAAGTCGATGTAGACCACGTCAACATCCTTCTGTTCATTGAGAGCTCGAACCCACTGGTGGTTTGCATACATCAAGTTGGTGATGCAGGATCGCCCTTTCGTAAAGCCGTGTTGCGCTGGTGTCAATACGTCCATCGATTCGAAGAACGACAGCAGACACGTTTTCACAACCTTCTCGAGAACTTTGGATAATACCGAAGTCAAACAGATCGGTCTATAGTTCTCTATTTTACTCGGATCACCACCCTTGGGAAGCGGTTTCACTATCGAGCATTTCCAGTCGTTCGGGACGGATCCTTCAGAGAGCGATTTATTGAAAAGATTTGTCCCAGCTGGTGAGATGATAATCGATAGGGACTTGAGTATTAGTGGGTGAAGTCCGTCTGGTCCGGGGGTCTTTGCACCATCGAGGTTGACGAGTAGCTGATGTACTTCGACTGCATCACATTGTAGGCTGTCGAGCAAGACTTGCGCAACCTGTGCCCATCATCATTAAAAGGAAAGAAAAGTACGGCGCTTGAAGAAAACAAAAATTGTTTCGCTTCTCGTGGTAGCAGTTCTGTTTATCACCTACCTTTGATCATTTCTTCGAGATATTGCATATATATATATATATATATATATGTATATATATAAACTAATGTCTATCCCGTTGGATATCCTGAACGAGTGCCTAGCGTAACACACAATAAAGCTATGGCCAAAATTTTTGCACTGGTGCTGGCTGCCGCAGTCGTCGGTTTCCTACAACCATTCCACCACAGTCTACTTACTCTATAAGTAACCACGTACGCTTCTAATCTCCGTAAGAACCCTCATTACCTTGTTTTGCTTCTTATCACTGGAGACAACATTTGCCTATTCTAAAGTAACCTGCTGGACTTCACTAGAGGCTGGCTAATTTTTCACACTTAACGCATTCTTCTCAGGCTGGATCAGCGTCGCCGGCCTCATCCATCGTCGTGCATCTCGTTATGAAGAAGATGAGGCGACTCAGGACAACAATATCAGCGGTGTTGCTACTCAATTTTGCGACGATTCGAAGTCTGTCTTTGATCCGGATTCAAATATCCACTTGTGCGCTTGGACTCCTGGTGCGTTGGGCATCTCGGTACGCAAACCTGCGCTTATCCCGGATGTCATCAGGCGTCGCAAGCGTCGATTTTTCATGACTCGGGAATTTTCCATCTCTGCGTGACCGAAAAATTTCTTGCCGATGTCCAACCCTTATTCAACTGCACATGATCTTATACCATGTTTTCTCACATACAGATAAAGGTGTGATTTTGTCTCGAAAGCTCCGGTATCTTTCAAGGTATTTTCATTCACAAACAACGTTATGACATCACGTCTCTGACCTTTTCAATTCGGCTTATGCGATTGGCCTCTGTTGATCCACACTGCCGCTTATAGATGCGCTTGCCTACCTGTCTGTGGCCGGTCGACTGAACCTTATCCCTCGATCCGTGAGTGGGTATTTTTGTAAGTGTTTCTAATCCATTCCGAACCGACCTAATCTCACCGTGATGTATCCGCTTTTCGGGTTGTCGTGATAGCACAGAAATAATAAACGTATATATTCTTTCGCCCTATGTAAAGTACTTGCAAGTGTTGGTCCCGATAGCTCCGGTTCCACATGCCCCAATAAAGCAATTTGGAACCCTTAAACCACCGCCATCTTTTTACCTTCAGCCGCAATGCGGGCCCTTTGATCACTACCAACTTTAGTGGCGAAGTCGGCAAATTTACAAAGTATTTGTATTTCAGCCTGACTACAGTAGGAGCTGCAGCGAGAGCGATCATGATTTTTGTATAGACTTGGACATGGCAGTAGTACCAGAGCAGCGGATTCTCAGAATTAAGCCTTCAGTTAATTTACTATATAATAAACGGTCTAGACATCATGGATGTGGTACAGGGTACCGTTGCGTTCAGTCCAACGGTTATCACACTCTTAAACAGTCACTGAATGGATGGCGTCCCCATTCTTCTAGGAATCATCGGCGAGGTCAATTTAGTAGACTCTTAGAAAGCTTGGGACCCGCAGCTGTACTCTTGCGAGTTCGAAGTAAAAACCAGTGAGTCACGGAGAGACTAAAATCAAGGTGATTAGGTTACGAGCGCGGCTCACTCTCTGCAGGCTTCTGCAGGCTGGTTGGGCAAAATAACCGTTGGAAGTAGGGTCGGAAAAATGGGAATACTTGTGAATGCGGAAACTGGTTAAAACATGAATGCGTGTGTCTGAACCTTGCGTGATTTTGTGGGGGACATGCGTTTCACATACCTATTTTACTTCATGGCTTACTACAAGGACACTTCCGAACGTGTGCAATACTGGTGTCCGGCAGAGGATTCCATGCCCAATGCGTACATAGGTCATGACGGACCTTCGGCTTGCGGTGAAACATACACACCACGTAGACCTTTGGATTAAACGTCTGGAACCAACTAGCAACACACGTGGCTGGATGTCCGTCGCAACGAGACTGGACCTTAACGTGCTGCGACAGTTTGCGTACCTCATTGAGCTATACTGGGTGGTGCCTCCGGGCATCTTGAGAGCTACTCCTACCAGCTTGGTCAATGGTGAGAGGTCAGACAAACTCAGTCTCCCGGTCCTCCAGATTAAGGGTTTTAAATAGGATGGCGTCCATTTCTGTATAACTAAATCATTGCCACCTCCCCGCTGCCTTGCGGACAGGCTTTTGAGCCAAAGGCTTTGGATGAAGACCCTAATCGTCATCCGAACTAAGTCCGGGCGCCCACATACAACCATGACATTTTCTTCAAACATAAACTTCATCCTGCATCGGCCGTCGCGCAGATTATCAAGGGTCGCCTTATCTGCTGCATACATCAGGGCGGATAAGCGAAAACATGCTACTGCTGGCGCCTCCCTTCCTTCTTTTCCACCTGTTTCTCTTACTCCCATCCCGACCCCCATTACTAACCTTCATTCTATAATTCCCAGCATAATTGACTGCAACCGAAGTGCCACTGGAGTAGAAGCATCTGCAGCCACCTTATCACGACAGGCACCGGACGCCTATCGGCAACTGACCCTTATTAGGCCATGCTCCTCCGTTTCCATGGCGACATTTAACGTTCGCACTCTAAGGCAAGCAGGTCAACAGGCTGCACTCGCACGCATCTTGGACACACTAGGTATTGATGTGTGCTGTGTATCCGAAACTAGGATCCATGGCCCTAACGGTGTTATTGAATTAACTGCACCCGGCTTATCCTCTCGTTATTGGTTGCACGCATCCGGAGACGTCGATGCAGCACTCACGGGTCAAGCTCCAAGGCTGCGCTATCGTTGGTCGATTGGATTCCGGTGAACAGCCGTTTATATGCAGCCCGTTTGACGACATCAGCTAAGGTTGATTCACGAAGTAGTACAAAACACTGTTTGTTTGTGATTTCCGCTTACGCTCCCACCGACTACAGTTCTAATGCTGTCAAGGACACATTCTATGACGAACTGAACGTGCTACTACACAGTGCTACTAGTTCAGATATTATAGTACTTGCAGGGGATATGAACGCACAAGTAGGGCGTCTGAGTTTTTCAGAAGCTCAGCTGGGTGGCAATTATGGGCTTAACTCCGAACGGTGAACGTCTGCTGTAACTGTGTGCGGAGCACCGGTTGTTTCTTAGTAGCAATGCTTTTAGACACAGTGGGCGCCGAAGTGCCACTTGGCGTCCTCCTGCAGCTGGTCGGCGATGGACCAAAATTGACCACATAGCCATAAATTACAGGTGGCGTGCTTCCATCCTGGATTTCCGCTCGTACTGGAGTATCTGTGTCTACTCTGATCATGCCTTGGTGCGCTGTCCTTTCTCCATGAACTTTAGCGGGAGGCGTGCAAAGCGTCTCCTCTGATTGACAACTGAGAAATTGTCTCAGCCCTCGGTCAGGCAAGCCTATCAAGACGCACTGCATACCGAACTGCGGATGTCTTGTCCTAATAACACTGAGCTTCAGTGGAATAGGATTTCGGCCGCCATGCACGACACAAGAGCATCCATCGGCACCGCACCAGTCACTGGATATCGGAGAGATCGATGAACCTGTTGGAATCCAGAAGAAACCTCTCGGCTGGCTCTGAACACAATGTGACCAGACGGGCTATTAGGCGTGAACTAAAGCAGAGCCTACGTGCTGACAAAGAAGCCTGGTGGACCAGTAGGGCTCAAGAAATGGAGGAGGCAGGAGCAGTAGGCAATTACAGCAAGCTCTTCCAACTGATCCGCACCACTGGTCCCAGAAAACCAGGCGTCAGTGAGACAATCAGGGACAGCGCGGGTGCACTGATACACCATAAGGAGCGCCGTATGGCTCGTTGGGCGGAACACTTTCAAGGTCAGTTTAGCTGGCCCCCTGCTTCCGGACCTCTTCCTACTCAGGTGATGTAGGGCGAGCGATCGATGGTTAGTTTAGAGCCTCCGTCGGAGGCCGAGGTCCGAAATACGATGACAGCCTTCAATCGTTTTCGTGCTGCTGGCCCGGATTCCCTCCCAGCTGCACTATTTAAAGAGGGAGGTGAGGTCGTCTGCAGGGCACTGACCTCCATATGCGAACGTATCTGGAAGCAGGAAAGTGTCCCGGCTAATTGGAGCGAATCGATTATTGTGACAGTATACAAGAAGGGCAGTCGCACAGACTGTTCTAATCACCTTGGTATTAGCCTAACACCAGTTGTGACAAAATTACTGGCCTCGATTCTCGTTCGTCGCCTCACTGTGGAACTCGAATCTCCAATTAAAGAAGAGCAGGCCGGTTTTCGCTCAGGGCGGCAGGTGCTAGAGCAACGCCACGCATACCGCAGACCAACAATAGCTGTGTTGCTAGATTTCAAGATTGCCTTTGATTCAATCGGTTCTTTTTGAAATTCGTGCCCGGTGTGGTGTTCCCACGAAATATGTGAATATCCTACGTGCTCTGTACTCGAACAATACAGGCCCATTCACGGTCTACAATGGCCCATCTGATGGCTTTCCGATCACAAGTGGCGTTCGTCAGGGTTGTCCAAATTCCCCACTTTTGTTCAATTTCGTTGTGGATTCTATCATGGAGTGTTTACTTGCGGAATCTCACGGTGTAGGCGTTGAAGTGCTGCCTGGTAAAAGTTTAGTTGATCTAGATTATGCGGACGTTATCGTCTTGCTTTTCGACGATGTTGTGGCGACACAATCAACCCTGCATAGCCTGTCCAGAGTAGTCCCATTATTAGGTATGCATTTCACACCTTCAGAATGTTGTTGTAGGACCACCAGCCACTTTATAACCCATTGACCCTTGCTAACGAGGGACGTGAGGTGGTTGATCAATCCACTTATCTTGGCAGCTGCATCAGCAACGATGGGCGCATCGAAACTGACGTCAGCTCACATATTGCAAAATCCAGAGCTACTTTCTTGAACCTGCGGCATCTTTGGCGGCAGAAGGGAGTTTCCCTACGTCTGAAAGGTCTTGTATACAAGGGCACGGTGATGAGCGTACTGCTCTATGATGTTGAGACTTGGCTGCTTCGGTCTGAAGATCTGAGGCGACTTCAAGTCTTTGATCGTTGTTGTCTGCTGAGCATTGCTGGAGTCGGATGGCACCAGCGTGCCCGCAACAATGTGCGTAGACGAGTCCTAGGTGTTGATAATCATGCTAGCTCCCTAGAACCAAAGAAAGCACTGAATAAGTTGCGTTGGCTCGGACACGTGCTACGAATGCCTGGCCCCCGCTTACCTAGGACGGCCTTGTTTAGTCTACCAGGTGCAGGGTGGCGCAAGGCTCGAGGTGAACAGAAGTTGACTTGGCAGCGGAGAATGAAGCCACTGACGACCAAACTGGGTGCCGTTGATCCGTCTCTTCTTCCGGGCTGGCGTTCACGTGACCCGTCTTGTGCTTCGCTCGAGACTTTACAGGACATCGCTCGCAGTAGACACCAGTGACGCGTCTGCTGCCCTCTCCTCGTCGCGTTGTCTGTTTAAAGTGTGTTTGGTGCTGAGTTATCTGCGGGGTAATGGCTGATTGTGACGAGGCGCAGTGAACGCCGCAAGGAAGCTGTCTCGTCGATGTCGCCTTATCTTTGCACGATAGCCAGCTGTTTGTGACGGTATGTTGTCTACACAAGGTGTAGGTGCCTTGACCCTGAATGTTTGCTTGGAACATTAAGGTTTTCAGGTAAGTGCCCCTTCTT